GTGTATCCATGAGGCCCCAAGACACTCAAAATCCAGGGCTGGAGACCAGCAGATGGCGTAGTGGTTGTCACTGGACTCCCACGTAGTTAAGGTTCGAGTCCCCAGACCTGGTTGCTTAAAACTCATGCTGGGTGCGTGTGCATGCATGTCTAAAAATCCTGAGTGGAGAATGGAGGAGAAGGGATTGCGGCGTGGCCATCCCACCTGGGGGTGATTTCTCACTCTCTCTCTTTGGTGAGTGTACACGCCCTATAGCAAGAATCTGACTCTTAAAAAAAAAAATTCAGAACTGTTGTCTTGGCACGGATGGACTGAAGGACAGGGAGAGTGGGAAGATACCGGGGGTGCTGCCGGCCTCCAACGGTGTCAGAACGAAAGGGGCATTTGACAGCCTGGTCCGACTGTGGTCAGCCATCCCCCAAACCAAGGTTGGCTCCCATCTGCCAGGCTGCCCTCGGCCTTCGCGATGGCGCCTTCCCGTCTGCCCAGCAGAGGGCAGCAGAGTACGCGCCATGAGCCTGAGGCAGCCGGGGGCACCTGGGAGACGCCTAGGAGCCACAGGGTAGGGCTAGGCCAGAGCAAGCTGCGGGGGGCCGCCCAACCAGTGGCCTGGCTGCACTGACGTCACCGCTGACACCTGCTCCTCGGCCCCTGTCCCTCCAAGCGGCCCACCCAGCCCCGAGCAGCCCCAGAGCCCAGTGGAGCTGGATGGCGGGACTTGGGCCCAGGCCGGTGCACAGGCAGCTAAGGGACAGGCCTGTGGATGTGGGGAGGGGCGTGAGAGGACGTCCTCTGCACAGCTGGCGCCAGCCACGTGGAGGAGCCGGAGGGCAGGACAGACACAGGCCGGTCCCTTCCCACCCCCAGGCTGGGAAACACCGCTGGAACCCTCGGAAATGGTGCGCCCCTTCCCCGTGGTTGAATGAAGGCCACCTGGTGGTTCGCAGGTGTCTGCAAATCTGATGGTCTGTGCTCAGAGCTGCAAACTTGGGTGGGTGCTCTTACGCCAGGCATTGCCCCCGCCCCCGAGGGCCCAAAGCCGACCAGTTACGTCCCATGATCTTAGAAGAGAGGTTACCTCCAGCCAGTCAGAGGCTCCCACCAACTACTGCGTTCCTACTAGGGCCATAGGATCCGGCACGGCCACAGGGGGCTCGAAATTAGAGAACGGGGCCACGAGCTGGTCACCTGGTGGAAGTTCCTCTCCCACCCAGCCCGGCTTCCTTCCCCCCAAGACAGGTGTGGGCGCAGCAGGGCCCGGGGGAGGCAGTGCACAGGTGGAGGGGTCACAAAGAGGGCTTTGCAGAGGGGACTGCATGTCTTTTGTCTGGGTGCCTTCTGGTTCAAGGGTAAACAAACTGTTCTGGAATGATCTAAGTTCATCTTGACAAGAAACAGCAAGGGCCCCCTCGGGGTTTCCCAACCTTCCGAAGATTGGCTCCCGGACACGTGGGGAGCAGCAGCAATGTCGTTGCTTCTGCAGACAGTGGCCTGGCAGCACTGACACTGTCCCCGCAGGAGGGACCCGGTTGGGCAGTGGCTGCCAGGGGCCTTGCCTCTGCCCACTTAGCTGTCTGTTCTCCAAGCTGCCCTGCACCCAGGGCAGTAGCTAGCTTTCTGTTTACAGGACACTTGACTGAGTTGGGAGGGCGGAGTTCAAAACTTGGAGTGTGGGAGGAGGCTGAGAGGGGCAGGAAACGCTAATTAAGCTCCTGAGTAGGGGAGGCCTCCAGGGTGGGAGAGCATTGTTTTCTGCTGTTTCGGTTTTCTGTAAGGGAGGAGCAGGGCTCCAGCTGTGGAGGAACCGTTTTGTGCTATAACCCTTCCCTGAATGGTTCGCACCCCTGCCCTAGGCAAGGGCGAGCCCCGGGAAGCTGCTCAGCATAAGAGGAGCACACGTACTGAACTTTTATAAAGTTGTAGTTTTTAGTTTAGTTTTCTTGAGATTTTTGCTATAGAGTTCATGCACTCGCTGGATAGACAGAAAAACTAAGTCATCTCTGCTGCAGGGAGGGACTCTAGGCTTGTGGGACCTGGTGGGAACCCTGGGCTCCCTCTCAGTGAGCGCTCACTGCTCTGGCGCAGTGGGGACGGCGTCGCCCTGATCCAAGGCAGGGCCATGGTGCCTGGGATGCAAGGACCGAGGCTGAAGAACGCTGCAGAGCCTCAGGCTCACGAGGCTTCCCACACCCTTCTCCTCCGTTCTCTTGGGACTTTGGGAAACACACATGCACACGCCTGGATGAGTTTCAGGCTTCTGGATCTAGGACTCGAACCGCAGCAGACCACGTGGGAGTCCAACACCTTAACCACTGTGCCACCTGCTGGCCCCAAAGCTGTGGCAGCCCGGGCACCAGGGAGCCCACATCATAGGGAGAGATGCTGGCTCTTCACTCAGGAACAGAGGGCTTGGGCACTTTGTCACCATTACTCTTCCCGACCTTGCGGTGGAGGTCAACAAGATGTCCCTGTTGTCAGGGTTCTTATCTGCTGAGGAAAGAGACCCTGGACAGGCAATGCAGGCAGGGCCACTTCAGAGAGGGCGGTGAAGGTGCCAGATGGGGGACTTTGGAGCCCTGGCGAGAGGCCTCTGTGAGCAGGAAGGTGAGCTGAGGGCTCCTGGCTGTGAGCAGGAAGGGGAGCTGAGGCCTCCTGGAGATCTTGGGGAGCAGTGGTCTATGCAGAGGGGACCGAGGGAGTCAGCGTGGTTGGGGCAGCAGGTGGGTTCCTGGAGCCTTGGGGAGCCTGGCTGGGGCAGAGCTGGGGGCAGAGCTGGGCTACTCCCCAGGAGCCCTGGGCAGGAATCAAGGCGGTAGACCCAGGCTAACATGCTCAGGGCCTGTAGCGGGGCGGCTTCCTTTTGGCCGGTGGTGTTCTTTATAACTGCTGTGGGTGGAGCGCTGCCCCAGGGGGCGTGATCATGCCACGTGATCCTTATTCTTCCACTTCTCCGTCGTATCCGGATCTGGGCACACGTGCACACACAGGTGGTGGGCGTGTAACGCCGCAGGGTCAGACTCGGACCGAGATTAGCCACGTGGGGTCCCGGGTCTGCGCACAGGTCTGCCTGCTACACCACGGGCCGGCCTGCTTTTCTCTCTTCTCTTTAATATGGAAATATATTAAA